TGAGGGTGGGGGTAGGGCGGGAGGGGCAGTATAAGTACATCTTGGTTACATCGAAGTTTCGGATTAATACAGGTGACCTATTATTGAGAAATCTTAAAACGGCTACTACCGCTGATTCGTATTCGGGACCTCTTCTAACTAAAACATTGACTCCAACCTTGGATTCACCTCATCTACAATGTATCACATTTTAGGTTAGCGAATCAGCTCAGCGCGTCACCGGCTTTTCAATCAATTTTTTGTCGTTTTATAGACCACTGTTTAAAAATAAGTTGTAAAACTTCCATAGAATTTGACGGGTGCACATCATTTTTTTGACAAAAACGGAACTTTGGTCGTATTTTCAGTCACAGGCAATTTAGTGAAGTCGATCATAATTCACTGTAAAATCTACTGCATGAAGGGCTAATTCAAGGATTTAACATAAAAAAATGACCGATATCATTTGCTACTAAATCATGTTTCGCAAACTACTACAACACTAAACCAGACTGAAAGACTGTGGCAAGAGGTGCAAAAACCAACCTCAGTGACATTTGTAGACAAGGGAAACTGAAAGAATTTTTGAACCTATTTTCGCTTGAAAGAATTTTCAAAGATTTATGAATCAATTTTTGTTCGTTGGTCAATACACGTCTGTTGTTTTGCTCCTGAGGCGTTTGCGTGAGCCCATTATAGCTCCTAGTAATTTTACAATTAATATGCGTAAATATTAAGGAAGCAAAGATCGGATAAAATTTTTGCAGAAGGAAATCCGAGTAAAAAGCAAAGATTACAGCGGTCTACGTGATTCCTTGAATCGGGAAAGATATATGTAGAATTGGAGAGGTCCAGAGCAAATACGGAGGAAGAGGCGACTTCAGAGGCACAACTAGTGATCACTACGCTCATATTCGCAAAATATGATTACTAACGGGCACTACGCTCATTTCCGCACATATTATTTCCAGGCAATTTATATCCAAGTCGAAAATATTGGTGAAAATTCAACAGCAGAACAAATAGACTTCAGAAGCCAGTTTCCTTCTATCTATGACTCTTTCACAGTAGCTCATTTCATCAAAAAAAAAAAATAATAATAATAATTTGCCAACGCACGGACTGCCCGTGCAAAGATGCGTTTTTTGCATAGCTCCCCGCAGACTTCTGTCGTTAACGGCACTGGCTTTTCCGCCAGATGCTTATTAGCTAAAAGAATTTCAGACTGGCCGCCAGGACTGTTAGGAAACATTCCTTCAAAATTCCAATCTTCTAGCTTCTCAAATTCCCGAATTAGCGACCTACCCGAAAAAAATTTTGGCGGGCCTGTACCACGCTCACCCGGGGGTTGGGTTTGAGCTCATTAATACCTACTTGGGCTGGTAACGTCCCCTTAAAATTTCAGCCTTCCAGCATTTAGAAGCTTACCCGTAAAAAACTTTGACGGGTTCGTACGTGGGTACCACGCGGGCAAGAGTGCCCATTTTGGCAGTGGGAGCCCGTACATGCATCTAGATTAAGTTCTCAAAATTTCAGCCCCGTGCTTTTGTAGATTTTGAGATGAA